GGGGCGGAAAATGGCCGCGGACCACGTGTCGGGGCGGAAAATGGCCGCGGACCACGTGTCAGGGCGGAAAAATGGCCACGGACCGTGTCATGGGAGGGAAAATGGCTGCATATCCTGTTCGTATCCTGAGGCGGGGTTCGCAAACCGAAGCAAAATTTTGTGGCCGGAGCTGGTCGTAACCCGAAAAGTTCATTAACAGAAGCGTTCGTAACCCGAGGTTCCACTGTACTATATCTCACTTATATCTAAACTATAGCTTCAAGAGATAAAGACAAGAGGGAGAGAGACAGGCAGTTCCTTAGCTTCTTAAACATAAGAGTCTCATTTTACTAACTATAGGCTGGATGAGAGACAGACAAGTGGACAGTGTGAAAGAAACTTTCCCCTTATCTACAGTGGTGCTTAAAGGTTTGTGAACCCATTTGAATTTTCAGTATTTCTGCACCACCGTATCTCTTGCCATTAGCTTTAATGGTCCAAAGGTAAACAGGTGGAAAGAGATGATGGAATCTCCAACACCCCTTCTCATCATCTTGGACGCCCATTCACTGCTCCATCTTCTCTTGAAGCTTCTAGAATGGATCTTGGGGTAATGGCTTAGTTGGCATATCAGCCATCATTTGTTCTACAGGATAGTATTGCAATCCTTGCTCTTGTATATCCTGTTTATAGTGCCATTTGATGCCAATGTGCTTTATTTTTTAATTTTTTTTTCCTGTGGCAAATACAACCAAAGTTGTATTCATATAGGTTCAGTTTAGTACTTCCAAAGTCCTCAAGCAGTTTGTAAATCCATGACTGTCTTTACAAGATGGTTTCATGACTAACTGCACAAGATGAAATGTACTCAGCCCTGGTGTAGAACAGTGCCATGGTAACTCTGTTGGTACCAACTGATTGCTCCTTTGCTATAGCAAAGCATATACCTGCCTATTGACTTGCAGCCAGCTTTATCTTCAGTCTAATCTGCATCCATATACCCACTAAGTTCAAGATTCCTGCTTGCTGGGAGATTCAACTTTAAGTCAGCAGTGCCTTTGAGGCATCTCCCCAGCCGCTTGAGGGTTGTTGCACTTACTCTTCTGTATGTAACTACCACTGCTGGACCAAAATTTGGTCTAGTTATTGTTGACACAGAGAAGCTTTCCAAATGTGGTTCTGTGTTTACAGTTACCAGATAAGGTTTGTTCTTCTTTCTTTAGAACGTTAGCCTCCATAGATTGTTGACTGAGTTGGTCACAGTCAGCCCTAGGCATTTTAAAATGTCCATAATTTTCTGTATCTGACTTTAGAGATACTTTTCTTCCTCATCTTTTTCAAGCTATACTCCAGATAACAGGAAAAGCTGCCAAGCTCTTTCACCTCTATTTCCTTGGTCAAGTGTTCCAGAATCTTCCTACTATCTTGCTTATCCTCATACGAAATTATTAAACCATCAATGTAAATCAGGATAAAGGTCTGTTTATTATTTATGAATCTCAAGTTTAGGCAGGGATCAGCCTTGCCTTGCTCAAGTCCCTCCTTAAGCAACATTTGGTTTAGTTTCTCATTTCATGCACTGACAGCCTGTTTTAGTCCATAAAGGCTTTTCTGTAGTTTGCACATAAGTCTGTTTATAAGTCTGAAAGAACTCTGGAGGCTGTTCCACATGAATTTCTCCTTCTAATTCCCCATGTAAGAGCACAGTCTTTATACCCAGATGGTCATCATCCATGCTTCTGTCGCTGCTATGCTTAAGAGCATTCTGACTAAAGTATGCTTCATAACAGAGGCAAAGTTCATCACAGTTCTCTCCTATTTTTGGAATTATCCCTTGGCTACCAATCTGGCTCTGTAGTGGTAGACGTCTCCATCTCCATTGCATTTGGTCTTGAAGACTCATTTGCATTGTATTGCCTTTCTTCTGGCAGGTAGTTGACAAGTGTTATTTTTATAAAGAGAGTCCATCTCTTCACTTGCTTTCCACTTCTCAGCTTCATGAACTGGCAGCTTTTGGATATCTCCCCAAGTCTCTAGCTCTTCATCCCTTTTCTCTTGGCCATAACTGAGAGCTTGCCTGGGGGATCTGTCTCTTTGTTAGATCTCTGTGAACTGGCCCTCAGCTAGTGCCTCTAAGTCCCATTCTGAAACAGGCTGTAGTGCTGGTTTCAAACCAGAGGCAAGGAACAGCTGTGGTAGTATTGTATACTAGTGGTTGCTAAGTTCAAATCCTGATTCTTTACTCCCAGCTGGCCTTACTTTCTCATCAAAGTAAGTCACACTTATTATTTTAATCCTTCCAGTGGACAGATCTAGGATCTCTGTATTCTTTGATGTCAGCTGCATATCCATCCTTGTTCAACTGTATTTCAGTTTCCTTCTTTTCTCTTTACAAATATAACCATATGCTTTAGATCCAAACATTCTAATGTGATTTAAACTGAATTTTCTGTTGAACCATAGTTAATAAGGATTGGCTTTAATAGCTGGCCTGTTTGGAAGATAGTTGAAATAGTTTCTTCCTGCCATTTCTAACCCAGGCCTGAGTCAATTAACATACTCCGTTCAGCAGAGAACAATCCTTTCTTTCTGACGATTCATTTTGTTCTAGTGTAAAGGGAACACATCTCTTACAAATAATCCCATTTTCCTTTAAATAATTAGTCATAGGTCCATTCACAAATTCTGTTCCGTTATCAGATTTGTGATATTCTTTCAAATTGTGAAAGAATTGTGTCTTTCTTTCAAATGTGTTTTCTACATAAGCCAAAAATTGTCTGAATTTGCTGAATACTTCATCCTTATGCCTTATCAGATATAAACAGCAAAAATAAGACGTTTCATCAAAGAAAATTACGAAGTGCCAGTTTCCTCCATTTTACTCAATGGGAAAGAAACAGAAGTCACTGTGGATTTGCTCATTTACTGAATATTGCTGTGCTGCAGCATTTCCCATACTTTCAATGCTTTCAGTATTTTTTGTACTGTGTGATTCTTAGGGACATTTACTATATATTATATTATATATAAACATACAGAGCAGCACTGATTGGCACATTTGTAGTTCGTGATTTTGAAACTGACAGTCAATTCTTCCCTTTGTATCTGCCTGATTTGCTCTATATTCTGATGTTCTAGCTTTCTATGCCAAGATGCAGTGCAATTTCCTTCCTCTCCTTTACAAGCTCAGTTGGTTTTCTCTTATCAGAGAATCTACAATCCTCAGAGGAATCTACTCTGAAAAGTTTAGATTCTAACAATATTCCTTTCAACAACAGATCTCCATCTCTAGTTCTTATTGAGCAATTTCCATCAGCAAATTCAACTCTATGTATCTTTCTGACTGCATAACTAACACTTAATCATCTGAAGCCCAAATCTGGAGAGTACAGTACAACATGCAAAGCAATTGTCTTTTCATCATTCTACATTTTATTACAGTCTCTCCAATCTCTTGTGTGCTTATTTGCTGTCTGTTTGTTACTAGATCTGCCCTTTGCAGCTTGTATCAAGAGTCACAAAGAAATTCTTATTTTAAAACAACAGAGCAGTTGCTCCACTATCCAAATAAACTGAATTCAGACCACCAGCATTTTTCTTACCTTTAATGGTAAGGCCTCTCTGAGTGATTCTTTCACAGAATGCACTATTTCCTGCCCTTTGGATTTTAGCTCTGTTCTCTTCTTCAGCCTTTCCCCACCCTGGCCATTTTTCCTTCCCTTGAGAGAAAAACCCTTGATCTTGGCTAGAACTCCCTCCATTCACATATTTAAAGGGCTGGCCAGGAGGTTAGTCCCTTTCAGGCAAAATGCCCTCAAGGGTAATCTGCTTTTGCAAATAAAGCAGGATTTTTCTCCAGCTTTCAAAACAGAGGGTTCTGTTACCTCAGATAACTTCTCTGTTCCTATTAGAGATTCCTGCACATCTATTTTGGATATTATCTGATCCAAAGCCAGGCTTTCCTGTTGCTTGCTTCAGCACATTAAAACATTGGGGCAGAGAAATCAGAAAGAAAGCAACTTTGTATAACTTCATCTTGGAGTACCCCATTAT